CACCAAACCATTTGGGACAACTGGTCTTTCCCGAAGTACTACTCCTTGTCGCTGTTCTGTTGTGACAGGGGAGTGTGATTAACGTACTTCTTTTTACATTTGCAAGTCACCTCTAAGTGTGTGAGGTAGAAATGCAGAGGTGCACCCTTCTGTCTCCTCACAAATGCTGCTTGTTGTCTGGTCTGCTGCTTTGAGGACTGCAGGGAAGTTGGCAGAAGCCTGCCTGTTTCTTCTGAACAGCAGTTCTTGTAAGAATGGTGAGAGGACTGAGTGGGAGGAGAAGTTTATTTACCAACATTTATCACTTATCCAGAAAATGAACAATTTCTAGTGCTCATACCACATTGTCTTAAGTGCAGTCCCTCTTATCTTGGTGGTTTGATGGCTGTCTCACTCCACTGGGCAGGGTAAGCTCACAACTGAACAGTTTGCTTGTCCAATAACACCTAAGGATGGAAGCTTTTTAAAGTGGGAGCTCATGTCAACCTGGGTGGGGGTCAGCTTGAGGTAATTGAGTCTTAGTGTGTGAGCCTCTTTCTGTTTGCTTTAAATAGTCAGTAACCATCAACACAAATAAGAGCCACTTCCACTCTCGTAGTTCAAAGCGTATTCAGAGAGTTTATGGCTGCTAATGAAAAAACATTTCAGAGAAAGCAGAACCCAGGCTTCCAAGATTTGCACTTTTTGCGTTATGAGATGCTCAAGTTTGTGTATGGTAAACAAAATTTAGAAATTCCTCTATGTTGTTGTACTTTGGACCCCAACAAACTTCAGAAGAAAATGTCTAACTGTGCTTGGATTTATTTTATAAACTGGGATGGCTTCAGCAGTCTGTGTGGCCTTCCATTCAGCTGTTTGCTTAAGCCAAGCTGAAGGCCTCTTATCTAAAAATTATTTATTCTCACTCTTGAGCTGACAGAACCAGACTGGAAAGGCCAAAAGCTGAATCATAGTCCAAGCCTCGGACTTCAGTTAAATCATAAGGGCAGCATGAAGGACTGGCCACAACATTGCTCTGCAAGGTACTGGTGGTTCTCTTGTATGCTACTTGTCAGACACCTTTTTAAAATAAACAGCCTCAGATTTGTGCTTTGCAGCTGTTCCTTTCTATCTACCTGGCATGCCAAAGCAAAACCCTGCAGCTCAACATCTTCAAAATCAAGACCTTAATTCAAATATCATAATTTGGATAAGCTTCTCACTTTCTGTTTTCGGCAGTGTAAGTAAAATTAGGCAATTTTGTTTCTTTATCCTATTCAGAAAAATATATGTTGTTTATATACTTTGAACATAGACATTTTGTATAATAAAAGGCAACAGTTGAATAGTCCTAGCTAGAGATGTGAAAGTAAGACTGGAGGCAGTGCATCTGGTTGTCAATATTTAATCTGAAGAGAAAGAAAGTTTTAGCAACGTTTTAAGTGGGCTTGACTTGTTAAATTAAAATAACCAAAAGACTTTTGCTTTTGAGAACTCTTACTCTCTTTGGATACTTTGAGGATCTGATGTTCTCATTGACATCTTTTCACTCTGTTAGACTTCCCTTAATGCAGAGCATGGTTCTGGTAGCCAAGGTAAATGAGGCTGAAGGTTTAGTTTGAGCCATCCAAGAGCTGTGCTGTCCTGACAGGGAATGTGGGTTATGTGGTGGGCCAGAATGGCATTGCCAAGACCCTCATGCTGCTGTGGTGTGTGGCTCATGTGGGCACTTGCTGTGCAGGGCTGTTTCCCAGCATGAATGGCCTCCTTCTACACCAGTGTGATTGAATGCAGTAGTAAAAATAGGGAGAGGCTCAAATGACTATGAGGTGGGGCTACTTCTTGTATTCTGCTTCTTCAGCGAGGATTACTTTGAATGAGTTAATACCAAAAGGGTTAAAGAATCATTGTGTATTTTGAATTTGGGTTGTCAAAGCAAATATTTTGACAGTCAGTCAGAAGTGGATGCCGAGTGGCATGCTGTGAAGAACATAGGGTTCTGTCATGGAAAAAACTTGTTGAGGGATGGGAAAGTGAGAGGAAGAATAAACAGCTAGTTTTCAGCCTTGCAAGGGCCTGGTTTGAGTTTCTGTTGAATGAAAATGGAGAAAAAAAAAAGCAGGGTTGTGAGCAGAGTGAAGCTTTATGAAGCACAGTTATTTAGCACAGCCTGTAGCTGGAAAGGCTTCCATGTATAGCACAAATGTATTGTTGGAGCCACACGGGAGATGGTTAGGTTCATTGGGAAAGCCATTGGAGGGAGGAGGTTGTTGGGAGGAAAAGGGGGAAGAGGTTGTTGGGAGGAAAAGGTTAACTACCTAAATGCAACTGAGCTGGAACTTGTCTTCAGTACTTTATCTGCAATTTTTCCTTACTAAGTCTCAGAAAGAAATGCCTCTGCCCCTCCTCTGTGCTCACCATCCTACTTTAAATGTTTTTGTCTGTCTGACAAAAAGGACTTGCAGGTGCTCTCCTTTGAGCATGTCACTAGTGCACAGAAAAGCTTATGCAGAAGTTCTCTCAAGGATGAGGGTACATTGGTATTTCATTGACTCTTGGTATGTTTTGCACCAAAATAAAGAGCTCATTGCCTAGGAAAAGCCAAATCACAGTATTTTCAATTGAATTGTAGTTCTCAATGACATCTACTACCTCACTTTTAGATGCTGCAAAGTTTCCTTTAGTTGCAACAACAGCAAAGTGAACTCCTGAGATTTGACATGACCTCATGTCAGATTTAGACAGGCTGTTTTGTTCATGCAGTGACTTTTCTGGAAATACAGTCATAAAATTTTGCTGCGTTTTATTGCGCTTACATTTCAGTTGGGAAAGAACCCCATGATTCGGTCTTTTCTTCTAGTATATCATCCCATGTTTGCTATCAGTGATACATTTTATGGCTGCCAGTGTTCATCTAGAATATCCACCTACCTAAGTAAACATGAACTTTGTTTTAACCTGTGTTCACTAAATGGTGTTTTATATCAAACGGTACAGAGTCAACAGTAACAACCATTATGGGTGTTCAGCTCTTACGTCCCTTCCACCTCACTGAAAATCCTGGAATTACAAAGATGAAGAGTTTATATAGGTGCAGTTCTTGCAGAGAAATACAGATTTTATAGCTTTTTGGAGCATACTTTTAAAAAATTAAGGAATTTTCAATTAAATTCTCTTTAGTCATGCAGATGACATCAGAAGAATATCGGTCTGTAGTGGACATTTTCTACATTCCAGTCATTATTTTAAGTGGAAATACTGAGCAAATTAACTTTCTTTGGCAGGCTGACACTTCAGCTCTCTGTTATTACAAAGGGTGTATTCAAGTCGTTCATATGTCAGGTTGCTTGAAAACTTAATGCTCTCCCCCAAAAAAATGAAAAATTAGCGGAACTGCTTACTATGTCTAAAGACCTTTTTTAAAGGCAATACCATAACACTGAACTACAGGAGACAAATTCTGTTGTTGGCACATCAGCTTTAAGCCTCTTTTACCAAAGGAATCTGCAGATCTAGACAATTCACTACAACTAGTACAGGGGGAGTGGAAATTGCTGGATGAAATCCTGCAGATGATTCACTATGTCTAATATAGGAGGGAGTAGAAATTTCTGGATGAAATTCTGAATGTGTGAAGCTGTGTGTATATGTTTCATTTTGCATTCAGTGGGACTAATATTCAACCACCCGACTCAGAACTTCTAAGAAATTAAATACTGAGCCCATGACAAACCTAAAAAAATATTGGGGATGCCTGTTTTTCTGGCATCTGGTGTCTTCAGCAGCAGAGCAGTGAGGTCCAGATGTGGTTCTTTACTCTTGCCTCCAGTTCAATGTCAGTATTTGGGGTTTGGTGAAGAAAACTTCAAAGTGCTACATTCTCATCATGGAGAGGGTAACATGAGGGCATTTCCTGCTCCCACCCTTGCTTTCAGGCAACACTGTTTCAGTTCAAGAGCAGAGGCGTGTGGGATGACCTGTTTGTTATTTTGAGACCGATATTTGGATAGGAGTTGGAAGTATAGTGATCTCTGCCTCTTGTACTAAGATAAGTGTAACTCTGGGAATGTCATCAGCCACTGTTGAAAGGCAGTATAATGGCTTGGGGAAAGCCCTGGGGAACATTTTGCTGCAGTCACAGCATACACAGGGCTGTGGAGGAGGGGAATTGAGGGGAGTGGGGAAGCTCAAGTCTGGCTAGCAACCCCTCTGACTGGGGCTTTTGGCTCCTTGGTGGTGACTGGGGCTCTTTTCCATAGATTCCTGTTTACAATGGCATAAGTCACGAGAGGCTGCCAGGGCTGGGAGCAGTTCAAGATGAGGTGTATGACATATCTGCAGGCAGATTGTTTTCCTGAAACAACCTTGATCCCAGACCCAGGGAGGCACCACTCCTTGCAAAATCCAAGCTTCAAAGGGGTCACCACATCACAGGGTGAGCTGTCTGCAACTGTAACCTTGTTCACCTCTTCTTGAGGCGGGGTTGGCTCAACTGCAGTCAGCAGAAACCCAGAAGGTTGGAACAAGGTTCCTTCATTGCCCCTTGCACCTGGATGCCCATGGCATGTGGAGCTGTGCTCAGCCTCTGTCCCAAAGACAGGCTGTGCTGCCTCCCCAAAGTGAAGGCAGGAGCTGCACATCTGTGAAACTGCTTAAATGAGTCCAAACATTTTGCTGGGTGACTGCCAGCACCCTTGGTAATTTGGACAAGAAGAAGATGATGGGGGTGTGGTGGTAGGAGTGGGTGGGACCGCTGGGTGTTACTGAGACCTTTGCTTGCAAAGTGTTTGACAAACACCCACCATGGGATAGGGCACAGCAGATATTGTAAATATTGGCAGCAGTGGGAGGGAGATTAATTACTCCCCTGCAACAAATCAGGGAGGTTTCCAGCAGACTCTTTCTGACCAGCCCTTGTTAGAGTTTTGTATTTTGATGTGAATCTGTGCCAGATCTTGGTTTGTTGTGGGGGTGGAAATGACTTATTTCTCGCTGCTGATGTGTTTTCTCTTTTCTTGTAGGTGTATGATGTCAATCAGTGGGCAGTCCTTGTAGCCTCCCCCACCAGCCTGCAGTGTCATGTGCCAGTATGAATGTTAAGAAAGAAACGCATACTTCAGAGCTCAGCATCCCAGAAAGAAAAAAGGAGGAACTAAACAGAGAGAGCAAATGATTGCACTGCTTGCAAGACTTGAGGCTGTTCACCTCTTCTCCTGAGAACCTTCATCTTGGCCTTCGTGAGAGAGTTGAGAAAGTAGGCAGAGCAGCCACAGTGATTGTCTTAGGGTCCTTTTCCTTTTTCAGTTTCATTTTTTCTGGATTTTAAGTGTGCTGCACTGATCACAAGCACTGGACATCAATATGTGTCATGTCATTGTAACGTGTCGGTCGATGCTATGGACTCTCCTGAGTATCGTGGTGGCTTTTGCAGAGCTCATTGCCTTCATGAGTGCAGACTGGCTGATTGGCAGAGCAAAGCCTTCAGCCTCCGAGGAGGTGGACAACAGAACGGGGGGACAGCAGGAGCCCTACCGTCCCACGCTGGGCATCTACGGGCGCTGCACCAGGATCTCCCACATGCAGTTCTCTAGACGAGACACACTTTGTGGTCCTTATGCTGAAAACTTCAGTGAGATTGCCAGTGGGTTCTGGCAGGCAACCGCTATTTTCCTAGCCATGGGAATCATGATTCTCTGCACCGTGGCATTTGTATCTGTCTTTACTATGTGTGTGCAGAGTATTATGAAGAAAAGTATTTTTAATGTCTGTGGGCTGCTACAAGGGATTGCAGGTACGTGCACTTTGATAGCAACTGAACTTTTAATTTTGGGGTGATTCAGATGAAGAAACATAGTAATTCTGGCCTGCCTGCAGACAGACTGCATTAGGCAGACCCAAAGTGATTCTATATGCTGGTGTTTATTCAAACATAACTGAAATTTATAGCTACACAGCATGTAATACATTGACATTGGCAGCAGAATTGCAGCCTAATGTGTGCCAAAATGAACTGACCAGTATTGCTTTCGTTTGCTGTTCATTTTTTTTCCCTCTGTTTGAATTTCTTTCAGTTACAAAAACTTTTGGTTTTGTCCTTTGCTACCAGCAGAGAACAAAGTTAATACTCATATTAAGGCAGTCTATCTCCCTCTCACTACTTTAGTAATTTTTCCATGGACCAAAGGCAGTTTCCTTAGTGTCTCAAAGGCTTCATGACTGTGGTGAGAGTAAAAACCACCCTAGGGCTAGGAACTGGTTATAGTCTCACACCCAGTTCCTCCAGCATTTCATGTGAAGCTGCCTCCTTCAAAGCTGTGAGCTTGACAAGTGATACCTTGAGATAAACCTTTCCTTTCGCCAGCTTATTGTTCAGCTGCAGTTACATAGCCCGGTGAGCTTGTCTTTTCACTGTTCAAGGATCAGCTGTGCTTTGCCTGAAAAGATGAATTTGTTCTAGAGATTTGGTGTTTCTGCTTAAACCCATAGATTTTACAGAGATTAAGTGACTGTTAGTAAACCAACCCTGGACAGCCTTAGTTAGAGAAGTATTCATTTTTCTGTAGTTGCCACTGAGCCACGGGGAAAACGGTTTTCATCTTTTGTGCTCTCTGTGTGTGTGGTCATCTGGAGGAGGAGAGTGGTCTTCTGCCCTGCCTCTGGCAGCCCTCAGAGACTTGTGAGGAGGGAGGGAATGAGCAGGCCCCCCTCCTCTTTTTATCTCAGTGGGACTTTTAAGCAGATGTTTTCAATTCGCAAAATTATTTAATCACAACAAAAAAATAGATTCTAACTTGTTTTGCTTGAAATGTGAATCCAGCTTTCCCCCTTCTCACCTCCACTGAGGTGGCCAAACATGTCTGTGATGGCTGTACCTAAACAGGAGATGTAATGATAGATATTCAGACCTTTATCTGAATTTGGATGGTTTCATTTGCTTAGTTGAGACCTACCATAATCTTATTCTAAATACACATGGGGAAGTAGGTGAAGACTGACTTTACTTCCTGCTGCAACCCTCCAAAGCCAGTGTTACAAGCCAGAGACTGGCTGATGCTGCCTCCTGGACCACTCCCACAGTGGCTCTCACTGTTGGCTACTTCATTCGTCTTCACTGTGGAAGCATAACACTTACTTCATGTCACCCACAATGTAAGGTTTGTGCTTCTGGAGCAGAATTATATCCCTAGACTGGCTAAAGATGCTTCTATTCATATGATGGCATACAATTAGTGTATCAGGTCCTTTAGATGAATATGACAGGTTTTGCTGTAGTGAGTCCTGGTGTACAGAATTTGCCAGAAGCAGTGTAACAAAGAGGCAGCTTGGCAGTGCAGATTAAACCCGGGGAAGTTGATAGTTTCTTGCTTTCTTTCTCTGTACTTCAGAAATAATGCATGACTGTTTTTCCAGGAGATGCAATTATTACTTGTTTTCTTTTGGAGGGGCATTTTTATAGGAGAGATTGCTTAGCAGCATAAATAGATCTTTGGCATGTCAGATTTGGGTCTTTTGAAAAGATGACTTTACTTAAAACTCTGATACCGTCTCAAAATACCTAGTCTATCACCTAGGATTTGCAGGTAGAAGGTTCTTGTATTTTGGAATAGTGTTCTGAAGACCATGTGTTTGTGAGAAAATGCATGCTGAGACAGTTTTATGTTTTATTATCAATCCATCTGTACCCATAATGGGATTTGCAGCCTAAAACATTGAACAGTACAGTTGACAAAGCATTTAATTATGTGTTAAGGCGTAGATCAGTCCTTCTTGAGCTGTACCAAGCATAGAAGCACTTCTCTTCCTGCAATTCAGATAAATGACACGGCATGAAACTGGGTAAGAGAAAGGTCACCTTAGTGAAACGTTGCTGCCAGTATTTACAGCCAGGCATCTTGTGGCTCACAGTTCGTTTCCTCAAGATTAATTTTATTGGGTCCATTGCTACTTTTCTGCCAGTAGTATTACAGCATCTGCTTATTTAGTTGCAATTATTTTCCTTTGACTAATGATGGCTGCTAATTTAAACTTCGCCAGTTCCTGAGTTTTGAAAAATGCTTAAGCAAGGTGCTTAAAAGGGACAGTTGTCAGCATGGCTAATTCATACAGGGATTATGATAGATAAACTAATGTCCTGACCAGACAACAAGTTATAACCCTACCTTAATAATTTTAAGCATAGCATCATTCTTTCTAATGTGAACAATTATGTTTTTAGTAAGTATACAAGAAGAATTCACAAAACAATTTTGCTAATCAGCCTATATCAGTACAATATCTGCAAGTATGCCAAACATCTCCTTTTTAAACATGAGATGCACACATGGTAGAGTCATCTACAGGAACTCAGGATCTTGCAGACTTAATCTCATTTAAAATCTCTATATCTTTGCGATAGAGATTTAATATAATTAAAAACATACAACAACCTAATTTATTACTGGAATTCATTATGACAAAACAATAACAGACACCAGATATATCTTTCCAGTCTAGCAAGATCTGTTGTGGATGATACCTACAGTGAAATTTCAGAAGAGAAAGCAACATCTCTTCTGTTATGGCCCTTGGACAAACATACAAACTGTCATTTAGATCAACAGGAGAAAGCCATACAAGTATCTGGACCATAGGGATTCTTTTATTATTTTTGTGGCAGAAAATGAGAAATACAAGGCCATAAAGGAAGAAAATATGGCTATTGTTTAAACTCCTGTAATTCCTTTGTTGTGGAGCAAGAACTTCTACCACTTTACTTTCAGTACCATTTATTCTGCAGCTGTAGAAACAGTAATCAATAGTCCTGGTTTTGGAGATGTTTGAAGATTGTTTCATCTGGGTAAGCACGTTTTCTCTGCATTAGAGTGCAGAGAATGGAGACATGTAATTGAATAGATAATTACTATCCAGAAGCAGGAAGACCAGGCAGACTTTCATTTGTGTGTCTTTTTAGGGAAAGTACTCTACTTTTAGTCTGTGAATCACTTGAAATGCAGAGGCTGGAGGAGAAAGGATATTATTACATGCTAACTGACAAGAATCCATTCAAAGTAAACTTTCACAGTAATCATGTAGCTATAGGAAGTAAATAATTGGTGATCCAGTACTGACATATCTTGATATGTCTATAGTGTAGCCGCATATGTATTTACAAATCTTATTTGGGCTTGTGTACTTCACTTCGTTGCTAACTAATATAATATAAACATAACTTAGCCTCAGAGGAGGGTGGGGAGAGCTTAAGACAGAGCCTAAACCAAGTTTGGCTTTCATCTCTGCTAGTTTCCTTTATGAAGTTCATAATCAGCAACTTGGCTTCCTTTTTTGGCCTCTGCCATGGCTGGGCAGACACAACCCCTTCCCCACAGCCAGTGTCTGCCTGACTGGCAGCTGAGCCACAATGCACCAGCAGCGCCCTGACTGCACACCAGGGGGAGGAAGCTAAATTAGCTGCACTAATATTACATCACAGAACTCGAGCAAGCCCCTGTGGTTTTTTGTGGGGAGCTCGACATCATGTGCCTGCAAAGTCTTTGGGGAGAACAGTGGGGAAATGGAGCTGACATGTCAGGAAGGCTAATGGGTTTGGGAGTTCAGGTTTTTTTTTTTTACTTCTGTTTTACTGTGCTGGAGCAGGGCTGCCTTGCCAGGAACATTTACCAAAAGAGGATAAAATAGTTCCTCTTCTCTAAAATCTTTCCAGGATGTTTATGGCTTTATCTGGGAGGTCTCTCATGGGTTACCCCCTTTTCATCTCTTCTTCTGTTCACAGTCCACTGTCTCCTAGCTGTAATGGGGTGTGACAGAAGCATGTAGAAATTGGGTTGCATCTGTCAGAAGACCTGCTTTGTGCCAGGTGCACACCACAGAGTGTCTCTGGTTTATTCAGGTGAATATATGGCTGCATTTTGCTGTCGTGTGGCTTAGCTGGCTGTGCCACTGGCATCTTTAGCAGGTAGGTGTCCAGTCAGCCAAAGCAGGGGTTTGTGTTTCCAAAGGCTGCTGCAGGCAGGCCAGAGAGCATTAAGTTCCCTTGGATACTTAGTTGAGTCTGTCTGTTTGGGCCCAGATGCTGCAGCTTTGGGCCTCTCTCTGTCACCCCAGAAGTTTCTCCTCCAGCATTGCTGGGGAATGGCTCAGCTTCTTCTTTTCCAAGATCTGAGAGGTTTGCTTTTCTCCCTGACTGTTGCCCTGCAAATTCTCAGGCAATGATAGCTATTCCACAATACTTTCTCTTCTCAGGTGTCTCAAGAGCTCTTTTGCATTCTTTGTTCTGACCTTTTTATGATTTCTCTCTGTGACTTTCCATGTCTTCTTTTCCCTTCTTGGTATCTTGAAGGGTTCCTGCATCAGGAGCTGCTGCAGGACCTTGGCAATAGTTCAGTTGCAGGAGTACGATTTTACCCTCAAATACAAAGAAACTTCTCTCCAGCTTTCTAAAATGAAGAGGTGGAATTCGGTTTCAAACCAGCTGTGTGTATAGCAATCTGTCTTCACTGCTGAAAGAGTTTGTTTTACATCTCTTGAGCTGAGAAATTGTTCAGCCTGTTATACTTACTTGGCATCGTTTTAATTTTGGGAGTCTGGGTGATTAGGAAGGTGGCCTGAGTAGAATGTGATAGGAACCATCTGAAGGGTATGAGGTTCTGGAGCTGGTTGTGGGGGTGGGTGAAGTAGGATCCAGCCACACAGGGTGGGCTCATGGTGTGTGCAGCCATGCGACTGCAGACTCCTGGCTGCTGGAAGTTAAGAAGGCCGGTGGAGTTGCGAAGGAGGAAGCTGGGGAGGAAGTGG